CTTTATCTAAGCCACTTTCCTCCATCTCCTCCTCTAGTACACATGTAAGTAACACCTCCAAAGTCCTTTTCTTTGTAACTCACAAATTTGTTCTCTCCAGGTTTGCTCTCTTTCCTATAGGTAACTGAACAGTCTTGTTCCAGAACCTTAACCCTGAGCCCAGTCCCAGAGACAAAAGGGAAATATAACTTCCGCTAAGGAAGTGAAGGTGAATGGAGCCTCAAATTTCAGTCAGTCACTCCCACTGGACGCATCCACGAAAACACCTTGCAGTCCAGAAGGCAGAAAAATGCCATGAAAATATCTTCTAACTGAACAAGAAGGCATGCAGCTTCAACTCAAGATAACCAGCAAACTGTTAAAGTGGGGCCCCTGCCCTTCATCTCAATGCCCTATTCAGCATGAAGCAGTGAGAGAGTCTGTGCCCCCATTCCCAAGTGGGAAACCCAAAAATTAAAAGAGTAATATCTTTGAAAAAAAAATAATCACTATTGGACTCTGCCTATCGTTACACTGGGTTGTTTTTTATTTTTTCCCCCAGTCTCCTACAGATCTTTCTCATTTCCTATACCCATTCCCTCCACCCACCAAATTGTGCAACCCTGTGATTTCAACCCTCTGTTCTCACCTCTTATCCCCTTGGATCCTCAAACATGTTTTTTAGAATTAAAAAAAGAAAAGAGAGATAGAGGCACATAAAAGTGGCCTGCAATAATAAACAAGTACTTTTATATTTTTGTAAAAAAATATTTTCAATCTTTTCTCCTTCTATCAAGATGCATGCAGCCTATGGCCCAGTGATGAGGATTTTTGCTTTCTTTTTGTTATTGTTTCTTTGATGTTGAGATGTAATCCTTATTGAAGGCTTTAATCTTCTGCATCAAGGGTTCTAAGTCCTCCTCACTTTCAGCAAGCAAGTTTTTGCCATCTGCATAATCCATATTGTTGATAAATCTTCCACTGATTCTGATGCCACATTCTTCTTCATAAACTTCCTGAGTGGTCTGTTCAACATATAGATTGAATACGTAAGGGTGCTCCTTAGAGGCAAGGATGCTCAAGCTGCATCTCACATACTTTGAGCTTGTTGTCAGGAAGGGTCAATCCTTGGAAAAGGACATTATTCTGGGAAAGGGAGGATCAGTGGAAAAGAGGAAGATCCTCAGTGAGAGGAGTTGGCACAGTGACCTCAACAATGGGCTAGAGCATATTAGAGATCATGAAGAAGGTACGGGATATGGCAAGGTTCAGATCTGTTGTTCAGAGTTGCTGGGAGTCTCAGTTGCACTGCTAACCCAAAGGTCATACTTCTATTTTAAAAAATTAATTTTAATTAAAGTTTACAGAGACTTAGAGTTTCCAGTCATTCACTGTTACACTTTTCTCCCTACCCACCCCTCCCCCCCAATTCACTATTCTCCTTGAAAAGCAAAAGCAAAACTCTTTGATTATTATGGGTCATACTTCTTTGGTAGTCAAATCCATGAGCAGCTCCATCAGAGAAAGATGAACAATCTTCTCCTGTGTGATTTACAGCATTGGAAAACACTGGACGGTCAGTTACGAGTCAGTTCTGACTCAACAGTGATGAAAGCTTTTGGGTTTTTGTTTGTTCATTCGTGGTTTGGAGTTTTGTTTGAAGGTTTTTATTTTCTTTTTAGTAACGTAATTTTAGTTTGATAAGAAAGTTAACACCTTTATTGCTAAATTAAGAGAAAAACCTTTTTTGCCTAAGACATTATCAAATATTATTGTTGTTGTTGTTGCCATTGAGTTGACTATAACTCATAGTGGCCCTAACAAACAAGATCTGAACCTTGCCACATCCTGCATCATCCTTCTTGTCTCTAATGTGCTTGAGCCCGTTGTTACAGTTACTATGTCAATCCATCTCGTCGGAGGTCTTCCTTTATTTCTATAACAAGCAGTGATGGGCTTATTTCCCTGCATGATGTCCTTTTCCAAGGACCATTTCCCTCCTGACAACATGCCCGAAGTATGTGAGATGAAGTTTAACCATTCTTGACTCTAAGCAGCATCCTGGTTTTACTTCTTCAGACATACTTTTTTCTTTTCCTCAATATAAATTTTGTGCCTTTTGGCAATCTGTAGAATATTCAGCAGTCACTTTATTATCTTTTCTTTTTAAATGTTAGTTTTCTGGTTTTTTTGTCATCAGTTGCAGCCAGGGTGATGTTGTTGGTTCTCATTGCAGATCATCTCTCTCTTCAGATCAAAACAATCACTGCTCACACTGGTCCACCAGACCTTAGGAGAAGCACCTTGTCACTTCTCTGGTCAGCTCTCTTTCACTCTCTTCCTTATTCTTTCTACTCTAGAACATTTTGCTCAGCCTTTGAGCATGTATTTCTTAGAATTTCCCAGACTCTGAATTCCCTGATGGCTGAACTAGGCTTCATCATTGTGTATACATAATCTTAACACCCCACAGTGGCTCAGGAAGTTAATGTGACTGTCTTGTAGCAATAGGGACCTCTGGTGGCCTGGTGGCATTCAGAAGCTGCGCTGCATCCCAAGACCAGCAGTTGCTCCATAGGAGAAGGATAGGCAATAATCCTCCCCTGTGATTAACTGCTTCTGAAAACCTGCCAGAGGGTCAGTTATGGGTCAGTAACAACAATAACAACCTGTAAGCAATGTGGAGATGTTTGGTTCAGCTTTTTTAAGTAGAGCATAGTAGAAAAGATTCACCAGTAAATTATTTCCCAAATCCTCCCACCCCCAAGCTCCTATAATTAAAACCATCATCAGTTCCATTCGTAAGTCTCCTCCCCATCTTACTACTGTTAATCTTTGGTCTCACATATCAATACTTGGTTGTTCCCAATTGCCTTGATTTCAGGGAGTGATATTCTGTAACCTTCCATGGTATTGTGTCAATCACCCATTCATTCACTCATTGATGTCTAGCTGGAACCTCCAGTGGATTTTTGGCAGCTGTAAATTGCATTCTCAACATCAAGAAAACAAAAATTCTCACCTCTGGACCAATAGGCAATATCATGATAGAAAGAGATAATATTGAAGTTGTCAATGCCTTCATTTTTCTTGGATCCACAATCAACACCCACCATAACAACAATTAAGCAAGGAAGACATGTTATATTGGGTAAATCTGCTGTCAGGGACTTCTCCAAAATGTTAAAGAATCTTAGTGTAAAGACTAAGGTGTGCCTGCCACATTGTGGTATTTTCAATTGTTTCTTATGCATATGAAAGTTAGACAATGAATAACAAAGTCTAAAGAAGAAGCGAGCCTTTGAACTGTGACATTGGGGGAGTGTTGAATATACCGTGGACTGTCAAAAGAACAAATCTATCCTGGAGGAAATACAACCATGATGCTCCTTAAAGACAAGGATAGTGAAACATCATCTAATATTTTGGGCATGTCCTCAGAAGGGGCTAAGTCCTTGGAAAAAGACATCATGCTGGGAAAGGTAGAAGGTCAGTGAAAGAGAGGATAGCCCTGAATTAAACAAATGGGGATGATAAGTGTAACATAACTGTGAGCTCAAACACTGCAGGAATTATGAAGATGGCACAACTGCTATTAACAGTGTGTAGTAGGCTACCAGAACTCCCTGTTACAGTGATGAGAAAACAATAAAAATTTCTTGGCTATTTTTTGTATATTATGTTTTGATATTTGTATTTAAGGTAAAATTGTGAGACAGTGCAAGCTTAAAAACATATGGTATCTAAAAATGGAGTTAATTCTGCTAATAGTAATAATTAAAACTAACTTATTATCACTAAGTTAGAATTGACTCACACATGACCCTCCAGTGTCTTTTCAGAGTAAATCACATAAGAAGAGATTGCCTATCCTTGTACTCTGAGCAGCTGGTTGGATTTGAACAGTATGTTTTTGGGTTGCCAGCACAACAAGAATTTCTTTTTTAAGCTTTTGAATCAACTCTCAGTCATGTGGCTCCCATATGTGTCAGAGTAGAGCTGTGCTCCACAGAGTTTTCAGTGGCTTCTTCCACAGTAGTAGATAGCCAGACCTTTCTTTTGAGGCCCTTCTGGGTAGGCTTGAACTGCCAATATTTCAATTTGCAATCAAGCATGCTAACCACTTGTATCATCCCAGGACCAACAGTATTAATGAATATTTTTAAGTGTCAAAGAATGTTAGACTGATTTCATGAATAGCTTTGATCATACAGACAAATAAAGTGAACCCCCCCCAAAAAAGGTCTCATTGTTTCCAGATCTACAGCTTCAGTACCCAAATAAGTCAAGCCACCCCTCATTCACATTTAACATATTAGTCAGAAGAATGTTGTTCATTGTCATCAAGTCAGAACTAACTCATAACTGACCCTTTGGTGAGTTTACAGAGCTAGTAAATTTCACAGGAAAAGATGGCCCTTCTTTCTCTCACAGAGCAGCTAGAGGATTAAAACTCTCTGATTTAGAGTTGGCAGTACAACACAACTCCCTTTACCCAATTGTTGTTGTTATGTACCATTGAGTTTGAACCAACTTATAGCTGACCCTCCAGTGGGTTTTTCAAAAGCAGTAAATCACATAAAAGGACATGAGTCCATCCTTCTCCTGAGGAGCTGGTAGATTCAAACCATGTACATTTGAGTTGGCAGCACAACTCCTTACCAACTAAGCCACAAGAGTTCCCCTCTATATCTGCTATTCAATGGCATCTAACAACAACACCATCTGCTGGGTTTTGTTAATTTGTTTTAATTTGCTTTTAATTTACAATAGACTTTCATTTTGTGGAAATACTTAAGGTCAAAGGAGAGACAGCCCCTGACATGCTGATCAAGTACCATCAGCTTCTCTGGAAACTTCTTTCTAGTCACCCTAAATGTTTTTAGATTACTTGGTTCCCAGACTTGTATCAACCAGACAGAAATGTCCAATGAAGACAGAGGAGAAATGTGAACCACTGGGAGGAAGAGCAGGCAAGAAAAAGCAGAGGAAGGCCTGGAAAAGCCTGTCACCTACACTCCCTATCTCCCCAATATCTTCTTCAGAGCCTTCATTACTTCCCTGTTTCTCAGGCTGTAAATTAATGGGTTGAGCATTGGGGTGAGAATAGTGTAGAAGATGGAGGTGGCTCGGTCTCCAGCTGGTGTCCTGGAGGAAGCTCGCTGCATATAGCTGAATATGGCTCCCCCATAGTAGAGTCCCACCACAGCCAGGTGGGAGGAGCAGGTGGTTAGTGCCTTTTGTTTTCCCTCAGTAGAGGGCATTCTAATCACTGTTGTGAGAAGGCGGGCATAAGAAGCCACAATAACCCCAAGAGGCAGCAGCAGCATGATCACACAGCAAGCATAGATGAGGTCCTCGAAGAGGGAGGTGTCAGCACAAGAGAGACGCAGCAAAGCAGGGACCTCACAGAAGAAGTGGTCCACCTCTCGAGAGCCACAGTAGGGGAAGCTAAAGACCATCCCCACATCAATCACACTGTCTGTCACCCCTCCCATCCAGGAAGCTAAGGCCATTAGAGAACAGACCTTCCAGTTCATGAGTGCAGGGTATCTTAGGGGATGGCAGACTGCCACGTACCGGTCATAGGCCATCACTGCCAGCAGGAAACACTCAGCTCCTCCCACCATAACCACCAGGAAGATCTGAGTCCCACAGGCTTCCCGAGAGATAAGCTTACTTCCTGAAAGGAAGTTGGTCACCATCTTGGGCACCACAGCGCACATCATGGTCAGGTCCATGATGGAGAGCTGACTCAGGAAAAAGTACATGGGAATGTGCAGACGTACATCTGCTTGTATGATGAGAAGGAAGAGAATATTGCCAGCCAGTGCAGTTATGGAGGCCAGAAGGACCAGGGAAAAAAGGAACAAGGCATATGGTGTGTGGCTGAACAGGCCCAGAAGGATGAAGTTGGTTGTGGTGGTGTGGTTCCAGAACTCCATAGTAGTGACCCTGAGAAACAAACAAACATATCACATCATCCTTTGCTGTTCTTGTAAGAAGGTGGTACACATAATGAGATCTAAGGTCTTGACTTTGATACCTGTATCAAACATCAAAAATAATGATTTCCCATTTCTTCTAAAATACAGGGTGCATGTCTCTAGCATGGATTCCATCCTATACTCCAACAGTAAAAATTCAATTACTCTCAGCTGCCCTCCTTGGTTACTAAGCAAGATATGATCTTTATTTCCCTTAAAATATTGTAGAGAATGGGATATATAGGCAGGAGTGACCAGAGAATGGAAGGAAGAAAAAGGGTTTTGAGTGGCATGTGAATAGCTATATTATAGGAAGTACGGAGTGGTACAGATTGAAAAAGAATCCTGTGAGAGTTTAGGTAACTGAGAAGTTAGAGGAAACCACAAAAGACCACCTTTACCTCTGATACCAGCTGCAAGTTTAGGGGTTCCCATAATTCCTTAGGTTTAATTTGCAAAAAGACTCATAGAACTCAGTGGAAGCTATTATAGTTACAGTTTGTTGTACAACAAACTATAGTAGGACATAGGTGGTGATAGGTAGTTATGCTTTCAATCTAGCAAATAGTTTCTTTTTAAACTCACTCAGAGGCACCTCAATAGAAAATCCTAGAGATCTACTCAAAGGACAAAGCCTTGAAAATCCTGTGGAACAGTTCTCTGCACACATCGGTTTCCATGAGCCAGAATAAATTCAATGGCACTAACAATAGCAACTAGTTTATTACAGCTAAAGGATTACTCAGTAGACAAAGCAAATCAGACAAAGTTCAAGAAAATACCAAATGTAAAGTTTCCAGTTGTCCTCATGCCATGGAGTTAGAATAGTAAGACTTTCTCAGCGTTGATGTGTAACAATATGCTTGGGTATTGCTAACAAAGGAAACCATCTTAAATCTTTAGTCCAGAGTCTGTATTGTGGTTCCATGATTAATTGCTCATAGGGTCACTATGAGTCCTGTTCAATTGGAGGACAATCAGCAACAACAACATCTCACCCAAAACCCCCTTCCTAAATCACATAGTTAGGTTTATCCAATATGATTCAAGACTCCCAGGCAAAAAAAGATTCTCTTATCAAGCATTACATACCAAGAGTTTAGAAATCACTTCCCAGAAAACTATAGCCTGAGGTCAAATGCCATTCTTTTTTCTTTTATTTGTTTTTGGATTTTTTTGTTACAGATGCCATTTTGAGAAAGGTGAGATTTTTCACTACGCATTGGAGAAGTGAAGTATTAAGTGTGGGAGCAGGAAGATGTGGACAAAAGAGAGGAGGAAAGGGGCAAAAGACAGAAAATGTAAAAGAGATAAATGTCTAAGTCAAATAAATAGTATATGAGAACCTCAGAAATGCTTCTCTGAACACATGACAAGCATCCATCTCATTTTGAAATGTGAACCACCTACAACCAGGGGACGATAGATGAATGGTATCTTCTAAGAATCAAATCCCTATGCACATCCAAAAACTTCTCCAACAGGGTAAAGAGGGAAGCCACAGAATGGGAAAAGTATTTGGGAATGACATATCAGATAAGGGACTCATATCCAGAATTTATAAAATACTTGAGCACCACAACAAGATAAAGGTAAATAAACCAATAGAAAAATGGGCACAGGATAGGAACAGACACTTCACAGAAGAAGAAATTCAGATGGCCAACAAGCATGTGAAGAAATGTTCAAAATCCCTAGCTCTAAGAGAGATGCAAATCAAAACAACTATGAGATGTCATCTCACCCCAGTGAGAATAGCAAAACTTAACAGAACAGCAAGCAACAAATGCTGGCAAGGTTGTGGAGAAACTGGAACCCTTATTCACTGTTGGTGGGAGTGTAAAATGGTGCAACCACTATGGAAGCTGTATGGTGCCTTCTCAAAAAGTTGCAAATAGAGATACCATTTGACCCAGCAATTCCACTACTGGGAATATACCCCAAAGAGATCATAACTTATAGCCAAGCAGATATATGCACACCCATGTTTATCGCGGCTTTGTTCACAATAGCAAGGAGTTGGAAACAACCTAAGAGTCCATCAACAAACGAATGGATTGAGAAGCTGTGGTATATTCACACAATGGAATACTACATTGCATTGAAAAACAAGGAACTAATGCACTACTATTCAAAATGGGTGACCCTGGAGGACATTATGCTGAGTGAAGTATCTCAGTCACAAAAGAACAAATACTGCATGGTTCCACTGTTGTAAAACAGGGATATGTTATTAGGTATTTTTGTCATGACAGGAGTCCAGAGCGAAGGCTGTATAGTGGAGTGGACCTGGGGGGAGTGTTTGTAAAACAAGGAAAGAATTTTTGTTTTACTTTTCCAAGAGAGTAGTGTACTAGGGGGGAGGGTTGGAAGGGGAGAAAAATGCAACAATGAATGAATGGAAATCCAATCGCTCTGTAAATTTTCATTGAAATTAATAATTGTTGTTATGTGGTGTTGAGTCGCTTGAAACTCATAGCGACCCTATGTACAACAGCCTTAAACTCTGCTCTGTCCTGTGCCAATCACACTGTCTCTGACATTTCCATCCCGATTATCCCAGTCACTGAATCAATCCACCTCATAGAGGGTCTTCCCCTCCTGCGCTGTCCCTCCACCCTCCCAAGCATGATGTCCCTCTCCAAGGACTGGTCTCTCCTTACAACATGTCCAAAGTATGTTAGACGGAGCCTCAGAATCCTTGCCCCCAAGGAGCCACCCGGTTTAACCCTTTTCAGGATGAATCTGTTTGTTTTCCTAGCAGTCCATGGTAACCCTCAATACTCTTCTCCAGCACCACAGCTCAAAGGCATCAATTCTCCTTCTATCCTCCTTAGTCACTTAAAAAAAAAACACAACAAAGTAGAGAGAGAAAAGGTTAAAAAAAAGGGGGGGGGGGAATGTGAACCATATTTACAATTACAAATTTACAATTATAAATGTGCATTATATGAGAGTCAGGAACTGGGGCATGCCACAGTCATGCATCACTCACCCAGCACAGTGACTAAACTTGAGTGGGCATTCAAGACAGTCACTAAATGTACAAAGGAAGGGACAGGCCACTATTCATTCTTCAAATAGTGGGCATCTGGGGGTACTTAGCTGGAGTTGTAACTTTGACTTTTATAAAGTGTCACACTCAGAATTCAAGGATATCCTCTAAACTAAAAAGACTGTCAGCAAGAGATAAGATTAAGATACACAGGCATCCTGGGAACCTATAAAGTCTGGAGTCCTTAGACAGGATAATGTCTCCAGGAAATCTAGAGACACTGCAAATATAAATGCTTACTTCCATTACTTGAGCTTTGGTTTAAGAGAGTTTGAAATGGATTTCCCCTCATCTATGGCTTTTTAAAAGCTACTCAGGTGATTCTGATGGGGAAATATGTTTACATGCACTAATACAGGGCAACCTGTGTGGAAAACTCCAATTTTCATTCTGCCAACAGGGAGAAAGTTGTCTAGAGTCATATTATAGATGTTGATAAGGAAAAGCTTATGGAACAGAGTTATAGAGACACAGCAGTAAAGGGAGACAGCACAACAACACCAGGATGTGTATCCCCCAATTGGCATAAACCAAGACATGGATCACAACCACCCACACCCACCACGGTGAGATGGGTACACAGTGAGAGGCAAAAAGCCAGCAGATCTGCCCAGGAACTTTGAAATTATGTGTTGTGACTTAAGAATGAATGAGAACCCCGCCCCACAGGAGATACTCGGGCGACCCCTGGTTGGGCTAGAACTTCCTTGCATGAACCGGCTCCTGGACAGAAAATAATTGAATCATCCTAACCCTCCCTCCCCAAGTTTCCAGGAGCTACAGGTTGCATGATGGAATTTGAACGTTACCTCAAAAGGTTTTATGTTTTGGATTAGTTAATGATGTTTGCCCTCTGCTGACTGTTTCTTCAGATTCAGTTTTTGGTATTCTTCTGAGACATTAAACCCAAAGAGATTTTACCATGGACTGCAAAGAAAGCTGCCCGAGTGTTAGCATTCCCAGCTCTGATGAACACAGAAAAAGAAAAGGTTTACTGTTTATAAAGTCCTGGTTTCAGTAGGGAGGAATGAATGGTTTGTCTTCAGGAGATATGCAGAGTTTAATAAACTCTACAATACTTTAAAGAAACAATTTCCTGCTATGGCCCTGAAGATTCCTGCCAAGAGAATATTTGGAGATAATTTTGATCCTGATTTTATTAAACAAAGGAGAGCAGGATTGAATGAATTCATTCAGAACTTGGTTAGATACCCGGAACTTTACAACCATCCAGATGTGAGAGCCTTCCTTCAAATGGATAGTCCAAAACATCAGTCAGATCCATCTGAAGATGAGGATGAAAGAAGTACTCACAAGCTACACTCTACCTCACAGAACATCAACCTGGGACCATCTGGAAATCCTCATGCCAAACCAACAGACTTTGATTTCTTAAAAGTTATTGGAAAAGGCAGCTTTGGCAAGGTTCTTCTTGCAAAACGAAAACTGGACAGAAAATTTTATGCTGTAAAAGTACTACAGAAAAAAATTGTTCTCAACAGAAAAGAGCAAAAACATATTATGGCTGAACGTAATGTGCTCTTGAAAAATGTGAAACATCCATTTTTAGTTGGATTACATTATTCTTTCCAAACAACTGAAAAACTTTACTTTGTCCTGGATTTTAGTAATGGAGGGGAGCTGGTTTTTTTCACTTACAAAGAGAGCGGTCCTTCCCTGAACACAGGGCAAGGTTTTATGCAGCTGAAATCGCCAGTGCACTTGGTTACTTACACTCCATCAAAATAGTGTACAGAGATTTGAAACCCGAAAACATTCTTTTGGATTCAATAGGACATGTTGTCTTAACTGATTTTGGCCTATGTAAAGAAGGAATTGCTATTTCTGATACCACAACAACATTTTGTGGAACACCAGAGTACCTTGCTGAAGTAATCCGAAAGCAGCCCTATGACAATACAGTAGACTGGTGGTGCCTTGGTGCTGTTCTCTATGAAATGCTCTATGGATTGCCCCCTTTTTATTGCTGAGATGTTGCTGAGATGTATGACAATATTCTTTACAAGCCCCTAAGTTTGAGACCCGGAGTGAGTCTCACAGCCTGGTCCATTCTGGAAGAACTCCTAGAAAAAGACAGCATCAACTTGGTGCCAAAGAAGACTTTGTTGAAATTCAGAACCATCCTTTCTTTGAATCGCTCAGCTGGACTGATCTTGTACAAAAGAAGATTCCACCACCATTTAATCCTAATGTGGCTGGACCAGATGATACTCGGAATTTTGATGCTGTGTTTACAGAAGAAACAGTTCCATACTCTGTGTGTGTGTCTTCTGACTATTCTATAGTGAATGCCAGTGTCCTGGAAGCAGATGATGCGTTCCTCAGCTTCTCTTACGCACCACCTTCAGAAGACTTATTTTTGTGAACAATTTGAGATTGAGAACACATCAAGCAAATAAAGACCCACAGATGGGACTGAAATTCCTATTTGTGTGATTATCTGAAAACTGTCTAACTTCAGTGCCTCATTTCTACATGTAATGTTGAAAACTATGAAAAATGTATTTTCTGCTGTATGTAAGAAAATAGGACATTTCAAAGAGCTAAGTTTTTATTGAAAACTTTTAATCTTATTTTAAATGAAAACTTTTAAAACTATTATTCTTAGCATTAACCTATTTTCAAAAACTTTTTTGCTATTGACTGTCTTTTCTATGTTTACACTAACATATACCTAACTAGAATGTTTTTGAGAATCTCTTTCAATTCAGTTAATAATAACTTTTTCTTAACTCTTGTATGACTTCTGTTTTCAAATTAAAGCTATGCAATTGGTATATGATGATTTAAGAAGAAACCATATCATGCCTTATAAAGACGCTATTTGGAATAATCAAATCACAAAAGATTAAATTACTAAATCATAATTAACATACTGGCTACTAGTTAAACTTTTGAACCCATCCATTCTGTAAATCATTAAGTAATTACAAAAAAAAGTTTTGCTACCAAAAAAAAAAATGAACAACATCAAAAATTTAATGTTATGTACCATAAAATTGGAACTTACTCATAGCTGACACTCCAGAGAGTTTTCAGAGGCAATGAATTGCATGGAAGGAGATTACCCATCTTCTCCTTTGGAGTGGCTGGTGGATTTGAACCCAATGACTTTGGGTCAGAATGCAACTTCTTACCACTTAGCCACTAGAGCTTCCTAGTTTTGTCCTAGGAAACTAGAATTACCCTCTTCGTGCTTTCCAATGCCATCACCTTTAGTTGGCTGCAAGAAGTTTTCTTTGAACTTACCTATCTCCAGGCTTGAAGACTGAAGTCAAATAAACATCTTCCACTTCTCAGTCACCTTCAATCCCTCATCCATCTGATTGCCCTTAGCCCCTTTGAATATGTCCCACCTCCATTCATCTCCCTCCATATTTACCTTCCACTCCACCCAATGTATCTCAGAAGAAGCAGGTCAAAGTAAAAAAATTTGCAAAGTTCCAGACCTTGGGGCAGTGCCTGAGGCAAGTGGTGGGTTAGAGAAGGCTCCTCACACACAGCCGTTGAAACTCCATTGTCTCCAACAAAAATTTAGAGAACCACCCAAGGTCTTCTCTTGTTTCTCACAAAATGGATGATGAACTCATGCCCCACATTTATACCTCTAGTCACTGAGCAAATGTCTCGAGACATCTCACTCAGCTCATAATGAGCCTGGGGAATAGGCAGATGCTCCATGCCAAAGAGTAAGTCAAAATTAATGAACTGGCTTCAGGACGGAGTTCATTCCCCATAGCCCTGACTGAAAAATTCCCCAGATTCCCAACTTAAAGAAGTAAGGTGGGACCTCTGGGAAACTGTAGCACTTGCCGCTAGTTATCCACAGACTCCAACCTTAGAGGCAAGGAAGTTAAGGGCATTTATTTCTCAATTTTCACGTGGATGGATTAAAGACATCAACTCTTACAGGCATCATCTCCAGCACCCCAGTGGTCTAGGCTGACTGAAGTGGGTGTGTATCGTAAGAACTTGTGGTATTCATCAGAAGAGTGATTGATCGACCTGTGAATATCTCCTACAAGTCACTATTTAAATCAGCTTTTTTTCTTTTTATTGACTATGCCAAGTATTCCTATTGATATTTGACAACTCGAATGTATACTTTCATTTAACTCAAAATATTCATTGTTGCACTTGAAAAACAAATCTTTAGTTTATTATCTTTCGGATACATTTTTTTCAGTATGCCTTCTCTGGTTTGTTGTAACCCACTTTCCCCATCTACTCCATTTCTTCCTAGATGGCATGCATCCTTTAATTTTTATTTCTATGAGAATTTGTAAGTGGTAAATACCCTCTTCACTCTCACTTGCCTAAAAAATGTCTGTTTTGTTGTATCTTTTTTTCAAAAGACAGTTTAATGAAATTAAAATTTTCAGGGAAACATTTATTCTGCAGATCACTATAATTATTACCCGATTTCTTTTGCTTTTAACAGTACACTCATGCTAAGGACCCTGAGGAAGATGATTGTCAGTTATGTACTGTTAATAACCTTTCTTTCTCTACTAACTGTTGAGATTGCTTGTTTATCCTGATATCTGCAGTTTCAATGCAATGTATCTGAGCATGAGTTTACCTTTAGAATTCAGAGAGCACTTTCGTTCTGAGAATGAGTCTTTCTTCAGTTCTCAAGAATATTCTCTTCAATCGTCACTTCTCCAAATATTCCTTTCACATATTTCTGCTGGAGCACATACTAAACTAATGTGAAGCCTCGTAGTTTCTTAATTGTGGCTGGTTTTGGTTTTTTAAAATATTTTTATATTCTGAGTGAGTTTTGTTTTGGTTTTGGTGGGGTTTTGTTTTGTTTTGTTGTTGTTGTTGTTGGAGCCTATGACCTTTATTCACGCCCCTCCACAGAGTACAGTCGGAGACAAGGCCCCTGCTCAAAGCAAGATAATCTGGAGCTAGGACTCTGGTCACATCCTCAAAGTCCCCTGCCCCTGACACTCTCCTATGAGCAGGAAGTTTATAAAGTGCTGGTGTGTGACAGATCCTCCAGGCCTCACCCCCACAGCTGCAGGGACTCTGGAAGGGCAGAGCACAGCGGAGGTTCCCAGGGAGCTGGGAAGAGACCACCACCACCACTGGGGCTGGGCACACTCAGTGCAGTCCTGGGCTGAGGGAACTAGAAGAGGGCACCTTCAGTCCCTGACGGGACGAGCTTTGAAGATATAGCTGCCGTCTAGGAGGATAGAGCTGGAGAAGTGTCTACACTCCTGGGAGGGAAGCAGGTAGGGGGGAATCGGGAGGGGTCTCAGAAGATGGGACAGCCCTTTTGGCACTTGTTCTTGCGGACCTGGAGGCCTGCACGAGTGGCCATCTCAAATACTTCCCGGACTCCCTCTTTAGTCTTGGCAGAGCACTCGAGGTAGCCAAAGGCACTGATGCGATTCGCCATATCCTGGCCTTCCTCAGATCGAACAGGTTCCTGCCTCGTCTTGGCCAGCTCTCGGCTGGTGTGCTCATCCTGCCGCAGGTCCTTCTTGTTCCCCACTAGGATGATAGGTACATTGGGGCAGAAGTGCTTCACCTCTGGGGTCCACTTCTCAGGAATGTTTTCTAGGCTGTCGGGGCTGTCGATGGAGAAGCACTTGCCCTACAATCACCAGTTCCTTCCGGATTGCAGCCATGGCTGGGGCTTCCGCTCCTGCTCCGAAACCTCCAGATGCGCGGCTGCTGCCCGAGGCAGACTGACCCGAGGGGCCCTGCCTCGCCCTCCGCCTGCGCCGCGAGGGGAGGGGAGGGAATGGGACTCTGAGTGAGTTTTGTGATAATAATTTTCAAGACCAATTCCCTCCTTGAAGTAAATCCAGTGTAGAGTTAATCCCAATTTTGCAAATTTTATTTTTATGTGCTTTTCTTTTAATATCAAATATTTTAACTTATTCTTTTATACAACCAGGATTGGATTGATAGCTCATTTCTTACTATTTTAGCTTCTTCTTGTACTCCATAAGAGGCAGTAAATCCCATGGGAGGAGATTTTCTATTCTCCTGTGGAGCTCCTGGTGAATTTGAGCCACTTCTCTTCGGAATTACAGTTTAGTTTCTTAACACTAGACTTGCCCTCCTTTGTATTCTACCTTTAAGATTGTTATTTTAAATACTTTGTTCAACTCTTCTGTAAACTGCATTTAATTTTCAGTGAATTAGAGATCTGTGTCAATTTTGTTAACTCTTTAATGTTGTGTTGTTATTAAGTGCTGTCGAGTCATAGACAATTCATAGCAATCCTGTGAAAGACCTGAACACTTACATAACTTTCATCATTTCTCCAAGTTCATAGGGTTTCTAGAGGCAAGCCATTTCAAAAGTGGATGCCACTCCTGCTTCCAAGCAAGTAAGAGGGGAGTTCCACCAAACACTGTCCACCATAGGTAACCATTATCAGATTTGACACATCACAGTGTCACAGTGTTCAGCATCACAGCGACCATGAGTTACCGCTGTACGGCAAATGGACAGACCAGTGGTATGCCCTTAGAAGAATGTTTGACCAAAAACAATTAAAATCAGGCCTGAGGGCCACAGATTAAAATCACCTGGAGCGCAGGGAAGCCAAAGCACAAGGAAGAATTCAAGATACTAAAGAGTTGAATAAAAGATTTCAAAAGGCAGCACGGGATGACAAAGCAAAATGTTACGACGAAATGTGCAAGGAGTTGGAGTCAGAAAATCAAAAGGGCCAAACTCGCTCAGCATTTCTTAAGCTCAAGGAACTGAAGAACAAATTCAAACCTCAAGTTGCTATAATCAAGGATGCTTTAGGCAGAATATTAAATGATCCA